GTTAAATGGGGGCAAACATTATAAGATATTTTTCTTCTTTTTGCTCCTTTTCATTTAATGATCCATGTCCTGGATGACTGAGAATCCACAGAAACATCTGATAATAACGGTGTTGGACCGTGCCAATGCTAAAGTGGATCAATATTTGTGTTAGCTTTACTTGAAGCACGTCACGTCGCTCTCGTTCCATAAATACACGCTTCACCGTAGGGGCGGTTCTAGGGGCGGGGCCACAGGGGCATTGGCCCCAGCTGAAATCTGATTGGCCCCCTGAAGTGCCCCTGTCCTGTCATTCATCTGTCCTTTACCTGKGAGCAATGATGGCAGATGCCGTTCCATGTCCAAACACTAGAGGCGCTAATGAGTCAAACAGGGAAGTCCARCATGAACCAAGCTGACAGAAGTCTTCTTCTCTTAAGAAAATCAGAACAATACTGCAGAAAGTTTTTCAACWGACAAACSATGACTAGATTTTCTCAAATGCTCTGTGTTTGAAAGTATTATCTAGTAAAAAATGTGAAACTGTTTAGGAAAATTTATTGTGCAAGCTTTTTAAAAAAGTGTTTKAACGTGTGACTGGTTAAACGTAAACACCTTAYYAAAACTGGGGATTTGTGTGAAAGAAGGTTGAACAAATACTTGGCCCCTCTAYAAATATGGTGGCACCTTGATGGYCYCTTACTCAAAAAAAATCCTAGATCCGCCACTGCCGGAGCAGCTGACCAGAGGGAGGTTAAAATGTAAACCGTGAACTAAACAAGCATGTTAGATAATTATAGACCTGGTTCTGATTGAACAACAACTTCAGAATCAACAAGCTAAAGTAGCATCCACCGTAGCGACCTGTTTCCTCCTGTAAACAGTGACCAGAATGTGACATCACCTCATATTCTGAGCGTTCACAATGTGAACATCCACGCAAAATAAAAGAAAAAAAATGTATCTGTTCCATGTATCGGGGTATTTTGAACGAGTATTAGTACTTGTAAAATGTCGGTATCGGTGAATCCCCAATTAGTACAGTAGTATCAGAGAACAATCTTAAAMAAAATCTAAATGCAAATACAAAATCCAAGATCCCCACCCATTTGTCAATTATCTGGGGGTGGTACCCGGGGTGGCCAATCAGGCGCCAGGGGTTGCACTTGCCACCCCGACCACCCCTCTGGCTCCGCCCCTGCTCAGGACTCACCCCTGTCTGCGGCTCTGTCTGCTCCGGTCCTCCTTGTCTGCGATCCTGCCCCGAGACGGGGAGCGGGTCCTCGCTCCTCTGGGACTGCTGGAGCTCCGCAGGGTTCCGGTATGTTTATATCCCTGAAACATAAATAAATAAATAAATAAATAAATAAATAAATAAATAAAAGATCGAATACAACAATGCATCAGCACGGATACCTGCACGGAGACGATGTTGGAGCTCGGAGCGTTGGGCACAGCCATCCAGTCCGGCAGGTTCATGCTGCTGTCGCTGTTGGCCCGCAGGAAAGGGTGAGGATGGGGGACCGTCAGGGACCGGGTGCTCTCCCTCCTCTGGGGGGCGTACTTTGGAGACTCCACGAAGGGAACTCATCAGGAGGTGAGGAGAAAATAGTTTCACACACGGTTTGATTAATCTACAAGCATCCACAAGTAATAATTACAGGCTTACCCACGTCTGTGTCTCTGTGGTTTTTAATTATTTCTCCCAGTTCAAAATGGCCGGACATAACTGCAACCTGAAGAAAAATAAAAACATTTTTTCACAAGAGGGAAGGTTTACACAAAGAATAAAGTTTAATGAAATGTTTGTAGATTTTATTTCATTTAATCATTTATTATCACTTATAAAAACCATAATGGACCTACATCCAGTGGTGGGCAGCGCTAATTCAAATTTTAGTTGCGCAATTTCTAAAGCGCTAGTCAATTTATTTAGGTCCGCAAGTTCAAAGTCACATATGCTCAATAAAACTTAGCGGAAGCTAAATATAAAGCGTCAATTTTATCTCCGTTTACCAGAGACATTAAGGCATGAGAAAAGTCAGCGCTTTACTGCTATCTAGTGGAAACATCGTTTTCTTTCACAGAAAGTCGTTGCAGTTTGGGGAGGTGATTTGTTGAAACAGACTTTTAAATCATTGTGTTAAAACAAAAAATAGTTTTGGATTGCTAGTTCTGCTGCTTCTTGGGCTTCAGTAAGAAAACATGCAGATATATTAGTAATTTTAAACTGTTTGTTGTAAAACTAAAGCGACGCATGCTCGGTAGGCTACAGAATGAAGAACAGGAACTCCGTTCTTTTCAAAATAAGAGTGTGAATTTAAATTGTTCCGTGTTTCTTTCTTTATTATTATTATTTAGTATTTATTGTTGTGGTGTCCCTCGGAGAGGAGGTACAAACTGCACAGTTGAGCCTGGTTCTGCAGATCAGAACTGCATGGATTGGCACCCAGTGAAGTAGCTCCAGTTGCTTCCTGCCACGCAAAGAATTGTGGGAACTCTACYAAATGAAAACCATCACCCAGAAGGACAGGAAGTCAGAGTATAAAGCTCTGTGAATGCAATGCTGACTGAGGGGTCACTGTTTCCCCACAGTGGAGTTCCATTGTGTTAACAAAAGATGGCTTCCCCCTCTAATGTTGAAGAAAGTGATGAAGTTTTGATAAATTATATGGCTAAGGAACGTGGTGAGTTTAGACGGCTCTTTCCCTTTRCTTTAGACAAAACTGACGATCGAATGTGAAAATTATTTGCGATTAGCACTACTCAATTCTACATTTAGAAAGCACAAATCCGCACATCTTTTAAAGAAATTAGTAAAAACACTAAAGTGTAACGGAGAAATTTAGGTCCGAAGTTAGCGCACGAGAGCTTTAGGGGACTAGTGCCCACCACTGCCTACATCTGCAACATTTAACAAAAATTAATGTTTTAGAATAAAACAATAAAGAACAAAAAGATCACAAATATACTTAAACACAGTGATTTTATCATTATTGTTTTCTTTTTATAACTAAAAATATTAACTAATCATGTTGCTAATTCTGAATCTGATCATTTTTTCACCATTCAAACACAAACTGTAAAATATTTGTGTCCACATATTTAAGTCCATTTAAGAAATACTACAGGTATAATAAGTTATTTATTAGTAGTTGGTCCAAGTACAGAACCCTGAGGAACTCCACATGAGATATTACAGAGTTCAGATCTTACATCATTTATTTGTACAAACTGTTTCCTGTTTTTCAGATTACTTTTTCGTTACTTTGTGAGTTTTGCAGCACAGTAAAGGTTTAAAGTGAAATTTTCTGCTTTAACTTAATAAAACTCTAAACCAGAGGATCTCAAACTGGGGTCCATGAGCCATATCTTGGGGGTCCTCAAAAAATTTCAAGAAATTGTTTTTTTTAATGCATTTGTGGGACAATGCACTACTAAAACAAACATACTAAACCAAACAAAAACTAATATTCCCATGACATTTAGGGGTTAAAATGACAGCTTGGGGTTTATGAGGGGGTCCCTGGAAATGTTTCGCCTTCTAAAAAGTCCCCAGAACCAAAATGTTTGAGAACCCCTGATCTAAACGAGACTGAGTTTTTACCTGAAAGGGCGTCTGCCCGCTGTTGTTCTTCATGTCTTTATTTGCGCCACGATAAAGCAAAATTCGTGCACAGCTTTCCTGCAACAAAAAGTATAAATTTCATATTAGATCTTTTTTCCTCTACTAAACCAATTCATTAAGGTGCAGAAAACATAAAAAGTTGTGAATCAGCGGCACGTTTGAGGAAGAAACATCTGATTCTGTGGGATTGTTTTCCCCTGGTGAAATACCTTGTTATATAAAGCACAGATGTGCAAGGCAGTGTTTCCAGAGGCATTCTGGGAGGAGGAGTCTGCTCCGTAAAACAGGAGGTGCTCCAGGTGCTGAGAGTTGCCGTTCTGACAGGCCTGTGGAGCGACACAAACATGGAGGAGACTGTTGTTTAATAAAGATGAGCAGATAAGGACGAACGAGTTTCCAGAAATTTAAGTAAAAATTTACACAGAAACAAATCAGTTTCCAGTAGTTTCCAGGTCCAGTCTGTAAATACCACCGGTGTAACGGTACACATATTTGTCCAGAACATTAGCCTGAAGCGTGAACACTGAAACACAGAGAGGAGATGAGGAAACAGATGTGGATGCAGGATCAAATGGATACCTTCGTGTTTCCTCCTGCTCTCGCTCGTCCACCTCATGGCTGTTAAACGGCCACTGAAGCAGGATGGAGGGATGAAGGTGGGAGGCAGGCGGACTGATTCATGGCATGAATGATGAGGACACACACTGGAACACAGAGAACACCTGGAAACAGTGATCCGTGCACGGAAGCTAACCTGTTGATGTTTTTACCTGGTATTTTACAACTTTTAGCATTTTATCATTTTGAGCATTTTACAACTTTTAGCATTTTATCATTTTTAGCATTTTACAATTTTTAGCATTTTATAATTTTTAGCATTTTACTCGCCTTTTGCTACTTCTGGATTTCAGCTAACTCTTTTCAGGTTTTGGATAAATTTGTTAATTTTAGCTTTCAAATAGCTTTTTTGTTAATTTTAGCCTCTAGCTAGGTTTTTGCCACTTCTGACTTTTAGATAAAATCTTCCTGCTTTTAGACAACATCTTGCTACTTTTAGCTTTCAGCTAGCCTTTTGCTACTTTAAGTCATCTGCAAACCTTAAGGTACGTTTATCTAAAATTATGCTACTTTTAGGTTTTAGCTAAACTGTTGCTATGTTTAGCTGACATTTAACAATTGTTTTGCATTTTGCTCAACTTTTATTACTTTACACTTTTAGCTAGCAGTTTGCCACTTTTAGCAAGCTTTTGCTACTTCTGGATTTTAGCTAACCCTTTTCTATTTCTAACATTTTGCTCGTGTTAGCATTCAACTAGCTTTTGCCACTTTTAGCTTCTAGCTAGCCTTTTATTACTTCTGAATTTTAGCTAATATTTTCCTACTTTTAGATAACGCTTTGCTACTTTGAGCTATCCACTAACCTTAAGGTACTTTTATCTAAAATTGTGCTACTTTTAGGTTTTAGCTAACMTGTTGCTATGTTTAGCTGACATTTATCAATTTTTAGCGTTTAGTTAGCCTTTTGCTTCTTTGCTCTTTTAGCTAGCCTCTTGCTACTTTTGCAGCTTCTGGATTTTAGCTAACCTTTTTCTGGTTTTGGATAACATTTTGCTAATTTTAGCGTTCAACTAGCCTTTTGCTACTTGGCACTTTTAGCTAGTCTCTTGCTACTTTTAGCTAGCTTTAGCATTAACTGTACTCAGTTTTTCCAGTGCTCAGGATTCACAGTTGCATTTTAGCAGGAAATGCTATTTTTGAGACTTTTTTGTTTACTTTTATATATTTTTTTAATYTAAACTGTCAGAATGTGACGAGTGAAGTTAGTTTTCAGCAGAGGGTCTAAAACTCTCCTAAAAACAAACATTTCCAGGTGTTTACGTGGTTTCTGAGAGGACGGTTTGTTTACTTTGGATCATGGTTTGATCTAAGCATGAAAGAGCTCTTCAAAGTCCTCCTGGAGGAACCAGACTTTTACCTGATGCGTCTCGTCCCAGCCGTTCTCGTCCCTGATGCCCAGTTTGGCTCGGTGGTAGAGGAGGGTCTCACAGCAGGAGGTGTCGCCCCCCGTTAGCACAGTGTGGTAGAGCGGCGTCAGCCCCCGCCGGTCCTTGTAGTCTGGAGACGCACCCAACGAGAGCAGGACCTGCGAAGGAGACCAGCATGATGTCTTCACACCGAAACAAAATTAGTTTGTTGTAGTTTGTGTTTAGATGAAAACGGTGACATCACCACAAGTTCAGGAAGGTTGAATCAAGAAACTTTGAGTTTGTAAAACACGTCTGTCTGACCAGGTCTAATAATCTTATATCAGCCAAAAGTGTTTCTGATCTTGTTTTGAGACTGATACACACGAGAGGATTACACTGAAAAAATAAAGTCACAATTCTGACTTTTTTCTCAGATTAAAGTCAATTTTTTTTCAGATTAAAGTCAGAATTCTGACTTTTTCCTAATTCACAGATTAAAGACAGAATTGTGATTTTTCCTAATTCTGAGATTAAAGTCTGAATTCTTATTTTTACTCAGATTTGAGTAAAAATTCTGACTTTCCTAATTCTCAGATTAAAGTCAGAATCTCAAAACTCTGAAAAAGTCAGAATTCTGACTTTTTTTTCCACAGATTTAAGTCAAAAATTTTCCTCAGATTAAAGTCAGAATTCAGACTTTTTCCTTAGATTAAAATCAGAAATTGTGATTTTTCCTAATTCTGAGATTAAAGTCTGAATTCATGTTTTTACTGAGATTTGAGTCTAAATTCTGACTTTTTTCTGAGATTAAAGTCAATTTTTTTCAGATTGTCAGAATTGTGATTTTTCCTAATTCTGAGATTAATGTCTGAATTCTTACTTTTTTCTCAGATTTGAGTCAAAATTCTGACTTTCCTAATTCTCAGATTAAAGTCAGAATTCAGACTTTTTCCTCAGATTAAAGTCAGAATTATTTTTCAGATTAAAGTCAGAATTTTGACTTTTTCCAATTCTGAGATTAAAGTCTTTTTTTTTCAGTGGCCCTAAGCCTCTTTACACTACAGCAAGAGCAGAATGCGTTAGATTATTAATCTGGAAATTTCTCTTATTTGAAGAAATGTTACTGCACTGGCAGATTATTTCACTTAATTTGAGAAGATTTAAACTATAATCTGGTATTTTTATTTTAATTTTGCAGTGTAGCTGAGATTCTTGGGAACAACCAGACTAAAACCGTATTTTCTTGTTCCAGCTGCTGAACATCTGGACAAACACCTGGAATTCAAATCTGCAACAAGCTTTTATAATCAGGAAATCTGTTCTGTTTTCTGAGTAAACATGTGGATTGAATATTCTGGMTTCAGCTTGTTGATTCGAGGCAAACATTTCATCTTGTCAGTAAACACAACAAGRTGAGTCCGATTTTTCTTCTTAAAGTGAGAAAATGAAAAAAAAAAACCTCATTTGTTACAGTTGTTTGTTAGTTATTTGTTATATTTATTTGTTACAGTTATTTGTTACAGTTTTGTGTTACAATTATTTTTTAGTTATTTGCTGGTTATCTGTTAGTTATTTGTTATATTTATTTGTTACAGTTATGTGTTACAGTTATGTGTTACAGTCTTTTGTTACAGTTATGTGTTACAGTTATTTGTTACAGTTATGTGTTAGTTATGTGTTACAGTTATGTGTTACAGTTATTTGTTACAGTTATGTGTTACAGTCTTTTGTTACAGTTATTTGTTACAGTTATGTGTTACAGTTATGTGTTACAGTTATGTGTTACATTTATGTGTTACAGTTATGTGTTACAGTTATGTGTTACAGTTATTTGTTACAGTTATGTGTTACAGTTATGTGTTACAGTTATGTGTTACAGTCTTTTGTTACAGTTATTTGTTACAGTTATGTGTTACAGTTATGTGTTACAGTTATGTGTTACAGTTATGTGTTACAGTTATGTGTTACAGTTATGTGTTACAGTCTTTTGTTAGTTATTTGTTACAGTTATGTGTTACAGTTATGTGTTACAGTTATGTGTTACAGTTATGTGTTACAGTCTTTTGTTAGTTATGTGTTACAGTTATGTGTTACAGTCTTTTGTTAGTTATTTGTTACAGTTATGTGTTACAGTCTTTTGTTACAGTTATGTGTTACAGTTATGTGTTACAGTCTTTTGTTAGTTATTTGTTACAGTTATGTGTTACAGTCTTTTGTTACAGTTATGTGTTACAGTTATGTGTTACAGTCTTTTGTTAGTTATTTGTTACAGTTATGTGTTACAGTCTTTTGTTAC